TAATAATAATAACAAAAACAACAACAACAATAAGGACAATAAGGATAATTATAATAATATTCCAATAGTTGATCAAAGTAAATTTTGATCCCTGCCTTTCTGAAACCTCGCAAGACGTCGCGACGACCCACATGCTATTGCTGTGGCCCCGCAGAGAGTGGAGACTCTGAATGTGCGCACTAGGACAAGTTAGTTCCGAGTGAAGGGCCAAAGTTTGCTTTTACCCAACACTTACCCAACCTCCGGGGACCCTACTTCTGCAGACTTGTCAATGACCAGAGCACGTGACGTCCCGTGTGGTTGTGGTGGAGAAATTGCTGTCTCCGTTGACCTTTGACATACCCTCCATACTCCCATACGTGCATGATTCATGGTCTAGTGGTTAAGCTGTTGGGCTCTAAACCGCAAGGTTGTGGTTTCGAATCCCGTCAGAGACCCCGACATTACGTCCTTCTTTGTTGAAAAGCACTTTACACGAATTTTCCTCACTTCACCAAGGTGGGAATGGATGTCTGATTATAGACAGAGAATGATCTTGTAATAATAATTACATTTCATAATTGTATTTATATAGCGCATATCCACGCTCTACAGCAAGCTCTATGCGCTTCACAACTACATGTAGGCTATTATTAGCCCAGAAACAGCTTCCTGGGAAGCATACAGTACACGCTGAGGACTGCACGCGCTCAAACACGAACAAACTTCATGTAGGCTACTGACAAGCTTAACTGACAAGATCTTTCGTTGTCTATCAACCTAGGCTAGACTGCTCTTATTTCCCCTATTCGAAGTAAAGATCAAGCTAAGTTTTTCCTTCTTCCTTTTCACGTGTGTATTTTTTATACCAATGTGGGTAGTTTGTGTGCGCAGGTGAAATTTGATATCATTTATGTACAAGACCCTTCGTTGTCTATAATCAGACATCCATTCCCACCTAGGTGAAGTGAGGAAAATTCATGTTAAGTGCCTTTCCCGAAGAAGGACACAATGTCGGGTCTCTGACGGGATTTGGAACCACAACCTTACCAACAAAACCTATACCATATCTTTGTGGATTTTAAAAAGGCCTTCGACAGGGTCTGGCATGCAGCCTTATGGGCAACCATGAGGAAATATAACATCAACGCCAACCTGATCAACGTCATACAACAACTATACGACAAGGCCTCCAGCGCAGTCTATCTTAACGTCATACAACAACTATACGACAAGGCCTCCAGAGCAGTCTATCTTAACGTCATACAACAACTATACGACAAGGCCTCCAGCGCAGTCTACCTTAACGTCATACAACAACTATACGACAAGGCCTCCAGCGCAGTCTACCTTAACGTCATACAACAACTATACGACAAGGCCTCCAGCGCAGTCTA